TCCAGAAGCCAGGTACCTTCAGAGAGACCCGGCAGGGGCAGTCCAGTGGTGTGAGGGCTACAGGGCTCTCTGTCTCTGGCCGCTCTGCTCATGTCCTGATAAAACCTCACTGAAGATATATGTTTACCTTTCATATTTCCAAGTGACATGGAGCAGTTAGTTATAGTAATCATACTGGAGTACAGAATTGGGACCCAGGAATGATTTCTGAAGTATCAAATAATGGAATCACCTAACAAGAAGTGAGTGGAAAGCCCCTCATTTAAATTAAAAAGCACATTAAAAATTCAAGACAAGGATAATTAATTCATAGCTTTGCAGAAGTCACATAAAAAAAGACTTGGCATTTTATTTGACTGGACAGTTAACAGTGGTATACCGGTATTCATAGTAGGTAGAAACAGGATTAGAAGTTAGACAGATACAGGTTCAAGTTCTAGCTCTCTGAGTCTCAGAGGTTCCCCACATGTAAAGTGGGAACTGTAAAGAGCATGCCATGGGATTTAGGAAGGATTAAATAATGAACATAAGCAGTCTAACACTGAGTATAGTATCTACTCCTTAATTAATTTTAATTATCATTAGCCTCATCACAGTGATAAACATTATTCTCATCATACTGCCAAGAACCCCTACCATCAAGCCAGGTTGCTCCAGGGTAATGCCTGTTCACTTCCTGCACTTCTGGAGATACAGGAGACAGAACCAGGAAGACTGGCCTGCAGGACTCCCAGAGAGAAGCCCTGGAAATAACCGCTCAGGGCATGGCTGCAGGCAGCCCAGGAGCAGGAGGCCTGGACACTGCAGGGAGATGTAGTAACTGTCTTCCAAGAAAACAGCTTTTGGCCAGCCTTTGAAAACTGCCAGCCTTTGAAGAAGGGACAGGCTTATTCTCATGTAGTTGCAAACGTCAGAAACCAGATCAGGGAATGAATTTATAAGAGGTGCAGACTCTATTAGCAATACAAATTAGTTTACAAGGCTTGAATTACTCAAGGTATTAATAAAATGCTTCAAGAGATGGTGAGTGGCCCATAGCTAGAGGCATTCAAGCAGAGACTCAATGGCCAATTGCTCGGCTTGCTTTTAGCCTGACTGAATAAATGACTTCCAAGTGCTCTTCACACTCTGAGGGTTTTTAAATCGTGAGTGATGTATTTTTCCCCTTTACCTTAACAAATGATTATTGAGCATTTGAAGTGAAACACAAATTCCCAGTATCTACTACCTATGGGAACTGGCTATGAAGATTATTATATAACTGTTTTACTACAAACACTTCAGCTGTGTTACTTAAATTACATAATAATAGCACATTAAAGATGTGCCACTGTATTTATTTCTGTTATGTTCAATAACAAAAAGAAAGTGTTTAATTGTATATTATGTTTGCAATAAGATTCTTTCAGCATATTTGAAAAAGTGCTTTTGAGATAGTATATGTCAAAGATTACAATATCTTAAAAAGAGATTAATCAAATGTGATTAGAAGATGCTCTTTCTGCTATACCCTAAACATTAAGTTATGTCAGTAAACGTCTTAGCCATAACTTTTCTTTAATAGACAAGAACACTTATAGTACTTTCAGCATACCCATGTATATCAGTTTTGCTTTATTTCTTTTTAGTTATTTCATAACTTGTATTTTCAAAAGAAGGATGCTATGGTTTATTACTCCAACATCACTGAAACCTCTTCCACATAACTTAATGTTAAGATTTATATTTGACCTGTATGTTTAAAAACAACAGTATATAAAACCTAATATTTGGTGTAGCACCAAAAATAGTCCAATAATCCCTAAGACATTCACATTTAAGGAAGATATCATGCAATTCAAATATAAAATATGCCTGCAAAATATATATATACACATATATGCATATTTTATGGATATATCATATATTATATTCATATAAACATTTTTTCAGTAATTGATGACATTAAAAAAGGAAATTAGACTTTACCATCTCTTTGTATAAAAAGGTTTCTATACATTTTTTGGTGGAGTACGTGATGGGAACACTTAAAAGTGAAGACCAGAGTTTTGTCCTGATCTCTATGACTGAGCCGAGCAGTCCAGTGCTTCAGAACCAATCTTTTCATCTCCTGTGGCTTACAGGAATGAAAAGCTACTGGGGAGTCTCTAGTTTCAAGCCTAATGACTGAATTGGGGCTACCTTTATTTCAAATTATTATTTAACATGCACTATTTGCTTGAGCGCTTCTCATTGACTAATACTAAAACTCTTCAATAGAGAAAAGATGCTGGTCTGCAATAAAATAAATAAGGTGGATCTTACAAAAGGAAGGAAAAGGAATAAAAACTAAAACAAAGACCATATATCCAAGAAGAAACAAGCAATTAATAATGTGCATAACTGGTGAATCACTATGTTGTACACCTGAAACTAATATAAGATTATATATCAACTATACTTCAATTTAAAAAAATTGCCAGAGATCAGACCTATGTAGATAACTTGTATTATTCACTTCATTCTTCCCAACTCATACATACTGATACCCAGCATTAACATTCACTCATCCACTGAAATAATCATAAAAAATGTGTGTACATTCTTTCCTTTCCTTTTTATTGCTTATAAAAACTTTAAAATGTTTGTGCCAATATGTGCTGCTGTGTCCTAAAAGTGTGGATTGTAGCCTATGTACCCACCTGTCAGTAACCTTCAATAAGTCATTTAACACTCCAATTCCCCATTTATTTCAGGCACTAAATATGGGGATATCAGTTTCTTTTCACAAAAAGAATTAATCAAAGATGTAAGTAAAAGTGCTTTGAGAATTGTAACATACTATAAACACATGTTTGCAATGGTAAAGAGGATTATGTGGTCTGGCATTTAATAAATAAAACTTGACTAATTCTCTTAAAACATTTATGTAATATGAGGGTCTGAAAAAAGTTTAAAACCTGAAAAAAATTAATCATAAGCTATAATGTCAAAATAAACAATTTTGAACCCTGGAAGTTAAATATATTAGTTCTACTATTCACATGGGAAGAATAAAAATTCATTATTCAAAGAAAGATGCAAAATTCTTGCCATAAAAGAAGCATTAGAATTTTGGATACAAAGTTTAGATTTGAACACTTTGACATATTCCTTTATTTTAAGAAAACTCTAGAAGAGGACTTATTATATTTTATATGCCATCCATTTTGCATGATGCTAGGCAATTAGTGTCTTTTATGTTAAGTCACACCAGTCCATTTCTGGTTCTAGATCTGGTTCTGTTTGTTTGGTTAGTATATCTGAGCTTAGGATGATGGTATGATTTTTTTTTTACAGAATTAACACCTACCATTCTTGAAAATAACATGGTAAATTTGTAATTAATATAACACTGATTTGCATACACATTAACTCATACAGTGGTCAATATTCTCTTACGTATGCTAACATTTTATTTTTGTTGTTGACTTTTTTTAGGTTATAGTGGGTATGCAAAAACATAAGTGATATAATCCATAAGTTGAAAAGGTAAGGACCATGATAAGATGAAATGCACTTAATATACAGTATAAAATAAAGAGGGTAAGCTGCAGTTAGAGAAACACAAATTTGGTGTTTCACTAAGCCAAATTCCCATAATATGAAAATTTAAATCCTTTCCATTAGAGATAAAATTATCCTCAATTTAACTATGCCATGTCAAATAAAACAATGTCAGTTCACTTATGTATTTTTCTATTTAGGATTTCCTAAAGTTTATTATTCTATGTTTTCAGTAGCATGTGAAGAAAAAAATATTAAAAATAGAGAGTGCTGTCTGAAGAACAATCTGTCCACACATGCCAAGAGTACTTAAGGATTTGGGGCAGATTTCAGGATGGCTGAGACTGAAAACCTGGATAGGCAGACATTGCACCATGTAAATGTAAGAACACTTCTTATTTCCAGTAGCTAAGAGTAAACATTTATTACAATTAACTTTTACAATGGAGGATCTATCAAATAAGATGTTTAACATGAATCCTCCAGATGGGTTTAAAATGTGCTACAATAGCTATCTCAAAGAATACCATAAAATGGTTCTATTCTCTTTTTTATGTTTGTGGAAGTGGTTTCTCTTTACAAAGAATCTATGCAAAACCCTCAATGCAGCACATACGCACTTGTGTGCTCCTCTTAGAGAAAATTCCTTGAGAAGAATTTTAAGTATGTTACCAGAGTCAAGTTACATGCCCTGCTATAAAGAAATACCAGAAATCTGACATATCTATAGTAGTCACAGATGCAGAGAGATATTTATGGGACTCTATCAGCATAAATCCAATGGCTATGAATAAAACATCATTTAAATCTACAGGAATTCAATTCCAACTTCAGAAGTAGCACAACATTAAATCCCTTGCCACTGATAAAAAAAGAAAACAAAAAAGAAACACATCTCAATAAAAACAATTTCCTTAATACATTATGTTCAAGTGTTTATCAATGCTCAAATAACTTCAACCTAATGTTTATTTCCTGGCACAGAGAAATGAAAGTCATACAGATTTTCTAAATCTTTAATTTTAGTATAACCTGGTAGGTGTGCTATTTTACACTCTGATAAATAGAAACAAACACGGTGACCAAGAATGGTTCCACAGAGACAATAAAACACAGACACCGTTATATCTGAAGTCAAGTGATCTAATTCCCAATCCACAGTTTCCATTGCAATGAGAGCTATTCTACATCTTATCAAATAGCTGAAACCTCAAGTACCTGCAGAAGTTCTGATCAAAAGATTATCTGTATCATGTGCTGTGGAACCACTGAATATACTTGGGATGCATGATCAATATACATATTCTAAATTAAAAAAAAAAAGATTATAAAGTCCAACCAAAGTCAACCCTTTAATACACAACTGGTGACATGAATGCAACAATGTTACATAAATGAAATAATGCCATGAAAATGCCTGGTTAGAAAACCTCTTCAGACATCATGGTAAAGAAAAGAGAAAGTTTTGTACCCACCTGGGATCTTTCTGAATGCTATCAATGGACGGGGATCTGGCCAAGGTGCCTTCGGGCGGGAGGGCAGGGCCGGATTTGCTGTATGGAGACTCAACAGAGGGACAGTACTGCAGCTGGCGGTAGGGGTCCGCGTAATTGGAGGCCGGGCCGGCGGCGTAGCTGGCCCTCTGGAAGGTGGCCGCGCTGGCATTCGGTGGGCCATGCTGGCTGCCTGTGCGCTGCAAGGGGACGGAGTCGACACCAGGGGAAGATGGGGCTAGGACAGGAAAGTAGGGACAAAGTAAAAAATTGAGGACCTGCTCACAAAAATGGTTAACTGGGTCTAGGCAGGGGGGAAATTACACACATAAAAAAGAAAAAAGAAAGGTTTGGAAGAATAAAAAAAAAATAATCTGTCATATTTGATCCATTCAATGTCATCCAGTAAAATGATAATTAGCATGCTATTTCAAAAATACACCTTTCAGCTACAGGGGAAAATGCACCTGTGTGTGCTTACGATTATCTGTTGGTAAGAGAAGGTTTATGAATCTGAAACGTAAACTGCAACATTAAAACACAGAAGGAATGTAAGGAATATTTTCTAAGGAATCATGGACAGTTAGCTTTTTATTGTTCAAGTTGAGGAAAGTCTGAAAGTGTTCATTCAGGTGATATTACATTAACTTTATTTGAGGTGTAAAGCAAATTTAGTATATAGTGAATTTTCCTGAATGAAAGAAAACAGGAAAAAGTGAGAGGGGGTGCATGCCCTGGGCCACTGGAGGTGGGGCTCATATTTCCATAATCAGAGCATTCAATAAGCAGGACTGGGCTAGTTCCTATAAAGCAACTCCCAAAAGATTTTTATATGCCTCTTTTTCACCTAAAGCTGTCCTAGTAACAAATAAATCTGGTGAAAGGTAGAAGATGTGTGAGAGAAGGTGAAGGACAGTTCAATGGCAACAGAGAGAAAACAACCAGCTGGCTTGGCTTTTCTAGAAGTGTTTGCATCTTTCCGAATCTCTGAACTGCTCTGAAAAGATTCTTCATCCGTTACTAAAACAAGTTCGATTATTTCCAAAGGGAATTTCAATTTTTTGTTTCCTTCCTGGATTCTTTTAATTCATTTTGTGTCATTATATTTTTATCTGGTTCTCAAAAATATTTAACATCTAAGTTATAGTTGACATATACAATGAAAATAGCATCTTTCACACTAATAGAATGTGACCACTTCCTCGGCTGCAACAGCTGTTAGCCAGAATCTATCTTAGCACATTTACTTTCTGGCATTGTAGATCAGAACATACTCCAAATATAGCCAGTGTCTAGATAGGAGCATTTATACAACTGGGAGCTCTAAATTCTAAATGGAATGAAGCTCCAGTTACAAACCATACCCCACAGCTCTGACATCCTGAATGCTTTTTAGTGGATGATGACAAAACTTCATTCATCCTCTCTCACATCAGGGCACATATGCCAAATCCCACCCAAGAAAAACCACATCACATTGAGAAAAATCATGTCAGTTGTTCAAAGAAGTGAAGGAAATCGTGTATTAAAAAGACAAAGGAGTTGCAAACTGAACAGGAGGAATACATTCTAATACCAAGCTCTGATTTTTAATGACGAATTCAGGGCTTCTCATTTTCAATGGACTTTCAATGCTTGACCTTTTAATAACCAATATTTGGAGAACAGGCACTACAACATGTTAAAAAGCAGAAAAAGTTTTAGGAAAAACTTTCTAAACTAAAAGTGTATATATTCTCTGAGAAGCAGCAGTCTTGAAATGTTGAGGACCACCTTGCTGATTGGATGAAGTTTCAAAATGATCAGATTTGACTAATAAACATGAAGGTCACAACCAGAAAAATCTGTCTTAAGTCTTCATGCAATCTCTGGAAATATTTGTATTTTCTCCAAAATATTATAAGCATGTCTAATTAAAATCCATGTTTCCAAAATTTGTGAATATGCGCTTTACATTATAGTGATATGATAAGAGTTTAAAGTTTAGGCCAGGCGTGACTTTGCTCTGGAAGAACAATGCATAGGGGGAAACAAAATTTCATTTTTTAGGAGAGCTGTGATAAGCCAGCCAGCAAATCAAGGGCAAAAAGGGAAAACCAAGTATGCCTGACATTTTCCAGTTAAATGCTTTTGTTCGTTCAGGAAATGAAATCTCTGCACTTAAGCTTGTCGAAAATGGTTACTAATATCAGAAGAGGAATCATTTTCTATACCAACATATTCATTATTGATACAGTAAGTACAATGGTTAACAGGAAAGGAGGGTGTAATGGCAGAGATCAGGAAATAATACTGAAATCTAAAAAAAAAAAGAACCTTGTTAAAGAAATAAAAATAGGTCAGGTGAACAACCTAATCATGCCAAAAAATCTCTCAAAGGACCATAAATTACAAGAGGATATGATGAGTTTAATAAAAAAAACACTCCCAGCAGCAGACAAAAAATTATGAGGACTGTATGGGAGATTGGGTCATATGTGAAAATTGGGTGTGAAATGCAGTTACTTAAGCAGAAAGAGGAAGGGATTGTCACTGTATATGAGCGGGGAGAAAAGGTGGAGAAAAATCCAGGAATAAGACCAGGCTTGTATTTGTACTTCACTTGGGCATTTTGGGTTAATGTTGCAAAATTCATTCAGAGCTTGGCTTCCGAAGTTAGAGAATTGGGTTCGTATCTGGGCTTTTTGGTCAATTCTTGGAATTGGACAAGTCAGTGAGATTTCTAAGCTCCAGCTTCCTGATTGTAGAGTGAAGAGAACGAAAGGGCCTCCTGGGATCATTGTTTGCTTTATATGCGCAGAAAGGATTAAATATCAAATATGTAGAAAATACTAAACAAATGAACTATTGTAATAATGGTTATTATTACCATGAACAATGTTGAAATCAACTGACATTAGAAAAAGAGACTGCACGGATCGCACTGGGGTGAATCCCCGGGGGCCACTGTGTGTCAGACCTTTCAGCCTCTGTAAGTGCTGTTCGTGCGGACCCAGTGTTCCTCACAGCTCTGTAAGCCAGTGAACATGTCACCCTCACTTTACACATGGGAAAGCGAGGCACAGAGAGATCTTAACTTGCCCGAGTTTGCCTGATAACTAGGAGAAAAGGAATTCAAACTTGTATCCTGCTTCTGGAGTCAATGCTTCTCACCACCACTGCAAAGTAGGCCTGGCTGGAACTTCAAAAATGTGTATTACTGTTACCTAACACAGTGAGAAAACTCAGGAAAATGATGACAGGCCTAAAATTGAGGGAAATGCCTGCTAAAGGTACAAGAGAAGGGATGTGGTTTATCATAGGAACTAACAACCTGAAGATTATATGGAAAAAATTATTACAAATTGGTGTATTAACTAATGTACACAATTTCTCATTAACTTGAATTGATTGAGACATGCGGAAAAATATACAGAAACATTTTTCATGCAGAAAAATCTAACTTTGGTCGCCTCTACAAAAATAAAAGAACAGGGATATGCACAGTTCTCTTAATTTTACTGTAAAGTGTTTAGAGAATTGGTCTTATCAGTGACATCAGTATATGTAAAGAAAAAAGAGTGTGGAGCATCGACTTGAAATCTAAAATGAGTAAACAGCTTTCAGAAAGATCACATTAAAAAATCACAGTCACATCTGTGGCACTTGGCCACAGTCCTTCAGTAGTATCCTTCCTGATTCCCTAATGTAAACTTTTTTTAGGTCACAATAAATAGGAGGCTTGGTGAGAAATTCAAAACATGAAACTGAAATTCAGAATGGTACCTCCAAATTGAAATAAATCCAAGGCTGATCAATGCAATGAAAATAATGTAAAATAGCAATGCCAATGGGAGAAAAATACATTATATTAAAGGGTAGGTTGTGTAATCATACCAAAGAAAGTGTGTGAGAACCTAACAGGTTGCAAACTAATCATCAGTAATGTAACAATGTAATGTCTTATATATTTTCTTAAAGTGTGACACAAAAAATGACTTCAACACATAAAGATGACATTCCCTCTTCTTGCCCTACCTGTTCAGACCTTGGTGTGGCTTATGCAAACTTTT